GGGATTTTGCCTTATCCATCCCTTGCCATGCCCATCAAGCCACGCCCACATAACCGGTAGTAAAAAAAATGAATTTCACCACTGAATTAACAGTTTCGTTGTACTCTTCTATCAGTTTGCACCAGGCACAAAAGGCTACATAAATCTTACCTGTTTCGTATTTTATTTGAACACTTATATCGAAAGAACTACTCTGCAGTGGTGGCAGGGGCATTGTGAAATAAAAAGAGGAAACAGGATGATATGAAAGAATAAATAAGATAGTTTCCTTGTAGCAGAAAGGAAGCCAATTCAAAGGAAATAGAAAACACAAATCTCAACAAGCACGACTTCATTTTAAATTGGTTAATACTTTGGACGTCAGCTGTTAAGATTCAAAATAATTCTTCTTACTGCCCCAAAAAGCTATACTGTATAGTATAATAGCTGATGGAGAAGAATCACGCTAGTGATTACTCTCCGCTTTTGCACCCAAATCGAATGCAATTCTGGAATACATGCCTCAGGCCAATTCCCACATGCCTGTTTATCATCTGATGATTTAAATATCAAGTAAAAACTTGTGTGAGCAAGAGAACCATGATCGCACTCCATTCAAGGGAATTGGCTCTGAAATGAAACTGGGAGAGACTTTCGATGATGTGCAATAAAAAAAAGTGTGTGTAAGGGTGAACTTCAACGTCTTTTGGGGGTGCAGTATTTAACTGTTGATGTGCTCATAATTGCTTTTCTGATTTACTCCACATTGACTGTGCTTTTTCAAAAGGCAACTGGACTTTCGTTTTCCTAGGAAAGACAAAGTCCAGTTGCCTTCTGAAAGAGCACCTGTGTTGTGGCCCACCAGCGGCCAGCAGAGCTGGCAGCAGAGTCAGACAATGAGGAGGTTGGGGAGGAACATGGGCCAATCCTGGAGGCTGGGGAGAGCTCTGATAAGGGTTCAGTGTTGGAGGCAGAGATGGGACCAAGGCCGTCTGGCAGTGATCAGGTGCCTACAGAGCTAGACAGCAGTGAGGCAGAAAAACAGCTGGAGCCTGTTCCCAGTGTGTGCAGGTGCAGAGCTGCCACAAGAAAAGAACAGCTCAGAAATCAGGGTTGACTTGGGAGTAAGGCCACAGGTGGGCAGTGAATGGCCCCTCCCATATGAAAGAAAAGAGGAGTGAAAGGGGAGTTGGCTTTTGCAGGGAACAATTTGTTCATTCATTCGTTAGTTCATTTTAGGAGTGTGAAGATCTGTCCATGAAGCTCAGGAACTCTGTGCCAAGTCTTTCCTTGCACAGCCCTGCCTTTGGAAAATATTTACATGGCAGTTTTATCAATTAAGGAGACCTTCTCTCACACCAGGTGAAAAGATGGCACAGATTTACCCACAGGACAAAGGGTACTGGGAGAGGAACACTTTTTAGTTCAAAAACTAGTGTGAGAGATGGCCAGGACAAAACACAATGCAGAGTCTTGCGTGTTTAACTTCAGTGTGAGCAATAAAGAGTTTAGGTTGTGCCAGCCAGTTATTTGCAGAGGGAAAAAAAGAGAGATCCTGTATAAAACTATGTAATAACTTGGATTCTGCCCCTTCCTGATTTAAGCAGTACACATCTAATTTGTGTGTGCACTCCCTCAAACAATGAAGGCCACAAATGTGAACAAATGGACGTTAGTTTGCATAAACCCACAAAGCTTTAGTTGCAACTGAGAATAAAACTCTCTGTTTAAATTGAGTATTAACCCAAGTATTTTCTGCCTGTCCTGATTTCTCTAGCATTCAAATTTTTCAGTTCACAGTGTGCAATTTAAAGAAGCAACAGATTTTTCCATTGCAAATCAAAGAGAACAATAAATTAAGGGACTTAAGGTAAAAAGGCAAATACGATAATCTGTTTTGAGATTCTTTATTTCAGATAAAACCACGCTGCTATATACAAGAAAAGTAACTTTCAAAGCAACTGCAATACACAAAAAGCAAATGTCATCTAAATGTTACACCATGCTGTCAACAACTCAGTGTATAAATTATCTTATATATATTTCTTTCTGACCAACTTGCCTTTTGCTTCTGAACTTCTGCTTCCAACGCTGTTACTCACAATGATGTAACGTAATAAACCCTGCCTCTTCAACATACCCAACACACAAGGGGGGAAAATGTGAATTAACCCAGAATACAGGTAGTCCTCAACTTACAACAGTTCACTTAGTGACCATTCAAAGTTACAACGGCAATGAAAAAAGTGACTTATGATTGGTTTTCACACTTACAACTGTTGAGGCGTCCTCATGGTCACGTAATCAACATTCAGATATTTGGAGAATTGACTCATATTTGTGATGGTTGCAGTGTCCTAGGGTCATGTGATCACCTGTTGCAATTTTCTGACAAGCAAAGTCAATGGGGAAGCCAGACTCACTTAACAACCGGATTACTACCTTAACAACTGCTGTGATTGACTTAACCACTGTGGCAAGAAAGGTTGTGAAATGAGCCAAAACTCATTTAGCAAATGTCTCCCTTAGCAACATAAATTCTGGGTTCAATTGTGGTCGTAAGTTGAGGACTATCTGTACCAAGCGACTTTATCAATATGACCTAAATGAACTCTGCCAACTATGAGAACTGGAGTGTTGATCCAAGTCCTAGATACAATATATTTCTCTTCCAACTTCTGAATTCCAATATTCTTTCATCTATATTCTATAGCAGTGATGGTGAACCTTTTCGGCATCGAGTGCCCAAATTGGAACATGCATGCATGTGCATGCATGTATGTGCAATGGAGCGCCTAAAACCCAAAGACCAGCTGGCCGGCATGCACTGCCTGTTTTTTGGCCATTTTCAAGCCATTTTTCGGGCCAAACACAGCCTGAAAATGGCCTGAAAAACAGCCTGAAAATGGCTGAAAAACACCCCACAAAATGGCTAAGAAAATGATCTGTTTTCTGGCTGTTTTGGGGTGTATTATCAGGCTGTTTTGAGGGCCATTTTGGGGCTATTTTTCAGACTAAAAATGGCCTGGAAATGGCCCAGAAACCAGTCCAAAAATGGTGCAAAAACTGGCCCAAAACCAGCCCTGAAAACATCCTGAAAATGCCCCCAAAATGGCCTGGTTTTTTGGCTGTTTTCCAAGTTGTTTTTCAGCACTCTGGCACCTGCAGATCTGCATGCCAGAAACCAGAAGAGCAGCTGGCGACAGCGCATGTGCTCACAGAGAAGGCTCTGTGTGCCACCTCTGTCACGCATGCCATAGGTTCGCCATCACGTTTCTATAGCAATAGAGCTTTAATCTGGCTATAAATATGTATATATCCACTTCCCCATTCAATATACATTGGTTAAAAGCCAGAAATCGTAACAGCCAACTCACATTGTCTCTTAATGACTTAGGATCTATGAATTGGCCAACCAAATGAAGCCACTTTACAATTGAGAGAACTTACAGGCTGGATGAAAGAAACCATAATAACAAAGGCAAGCACTTAGAGGAAAAAATGAAATAATTTGGAAAACAAATAACAGTTATGTTTTTAGCTTCTCAAGGTTTGTGGAGGCTGCTCTTATGCTAAACTCAGGAAAGGTGTTTATATTATATTCCTCTTCCAGCTGGGCACTTTAGCCACAGGACAGTTAACCCTTGACATTAAGGATTTGCGCAGAGAGGCCGTGATGCCAGTTGCGCAGTTTGGCAAAACGTGGGCCGTTACGCTCCGTTTCAAACCTCTCCCTGTGGCATGGAAAGACAAAGGGATGGGGAAGAGACAGAGAGAGAGACAGAGAGAGAGACACACACACACAGAGAGAGAGAGAGCAGGAGAGAGAGATAAAGGATGGAGAGATAGGGTTTAAGTTGCCTCCAAATGCTGTGTTAAAATAAAATAAAATAAAAAGGACAAAGCGAAATCTTTTTGTGGGGGGAAGGGGGCGACAATCAGAATTGCTCTAAAATTTGGAAGCACCCAATTCTCCTTTCTTGGCCATATTTGGTTGGGCTTGACAGGGCTGCTTTTGCTAGAAATCCATCCTTTGGCCAGCAAATTTCCATTTGCTCCAGCAAACAAAAGTTTAACAGCACACACAAACAAATGCGAAGGCTTTCTGCGTCTAGGTTAGCTTCTCGTTCTACAGCAAGTAGTGATTTGAATAGCAGTAGAGAGGTTATCTTTCTGTTATTATGGAATAATGCAGTTGTGGGATTCACATTTTTTTTACTATCGGTTCTGTGGGCGTGGCTTGGTGGGTGTGGTGTGGCTTGATGTGCGTGTGGCAAGGGAAGGATACTGCAAAATCCCCATTCCCTCCCAATCATCTGGGACTAGGGAGGCAGAGAATAGATAAGGGTGAGGCCAGTCAGAGGTGATAGTTACCGGTTCTCCAAACTACTCATAATTTCCGCTACAGGTTCTCCAGAACTGGTCAGAACCTGCTGAATGCCACCTCTGGAACAATGGATACTCCCTGGAAGTGATGTCATAGATTAGGGCATAAATAATGCCCATCTATTTGGGGTTTTGAATGACAAAATTCGAGTGGCATCAGTGTTGTGGTAAGAAAGAGGGTATTCCCTTAAGTAACTATACGACACCTGCAATTCATTCAAATTAATTGAATTTGGGTCAACACAAGTCTATTCTTTTTTTAAAAAGACTTTTGAGTGGCTAAAAAAATAAAATAACAAAAGATAAAAGGTTTATTGAAAAAAATTGATTTTGTTTGGAGGGTTTGTTAGGCTAGTAAACGCCACCCCCCCCTCCTTTTTAAGCACACGACTTCAAAAATTTAAATTTGTTTAGATGCCGTTCTAGAGAATGAATCAAATCAGATGGAAAAGAAAGTATTGCATTCTCATCCACAGATTCTGTTTTTCTCCAACTCGATTTCATTGAGGGCCACATCAGGGTTGTGTTTGACCTCAGGGGGGGGGCAGAGGGGGCATGGCCAGCTAAACATCATTCATGTCAGGGGTAACTGTGGCGGCCCAAGTACTCTGCCAGGGAAAACAGGGTCCCAAGCTCCATTTTTGGCTGCAACGGCCTCATGCAACCTTCTGCCAGCGAAAATGGAGCTCAGGAGAGCTGTATGCGGCCCTTCCCAGCTCCATTTTTGTTGGAAGAGGCACCAAGGGCTAGTTTTTTTGCTGTTTCCAGGGCGGCCCTGCGGGCCAGATTTAAGCACCATGGCCAGATCCAGCCCCCGGGCCTTGGGTTTGACACCCCTGTCTTCCACAATTCCACCTCAAACTGATTTGTGAAGTTCATCTGGAGATGGATTTGCTTTCCCCTGAAAATGTCTACAGGAAGTCTGATTGCCTTGACTAAGTCCCACGGTCAGCACTCAGTGGTGCATGGAAGCAAGAGGCTGTACCACTGAGAAGGGAATGAATGAATCCTATTTTTCTCAAAAAAAAAAAAAAAAAAACCAACCCTCAGATCAAATCAGACCTCTGGTTGGAGTTTCCAACAAAGTTCACCTGCATGCTTGTAAAAACAAGAGGGTGACCTTTCTAAATTATTGTAGCAACCCATGGAATTCAGGAAGATGGTCTGATGTCTATGCTGGACACTCTACTACAGGGGTGTCAAACTCAATTTCATTGAGGTCTGCATCAGGGTTGTGTTTGACCTTGAGGGGCCAAGATGGGCACGGCCCGCTTGACATCACTCGTGTCAGGGGCGCCTGTGGTCGCCTGAGTGCTCTGCCAGCAAAAACGGGCTTCCAATCTCCGTTTTCAGCTGGGCTGGCATCCTGCAACCCTCTGCAAGTGAAAACAGAGCTCAGTAGGGCCATGTGTGGCCTCCCGAGCTCCGTTTTTGCTGGCAGAGGGTTGCAGGAGGCCGTCCCAGCCAAAAACAGAGCTCGGGAGTCTGTTTTCACTGGCAGAGGCACTGTGGGTTGATCCTTCACTGTTTCCAGGGTGGCCCTGCAGGACAGATCTAAGCACCCCACAGCCTTGATGCGGCCCACAGGCCTTGAGTTTGACACTCCTGCTCTACTGTATTAGCTGCATGGATGAAATTAGAAGCAGAAGCGGCTCCAGGGATGGAGACAGAGAGTCGAATTCTCCTTCCTCCTTCCCTAAAAGATCATTTCAGCCCAGCAGGAGAAGAAACCGAAGGACTTTCTTCCTGCTGTCTGCAGTTCCAGTTCTCCTTGGAATTGTTCTTAGCTGCAAATTACATTTTTAAAAGTGGGCCTTAATTTAAATCACATCATCATTGAAGTCTCATTAATTTGGGCTTCACCCTGTTTTCTCAGAACTTTTGTTAGCCTAATTAGTTTAAGAACATCTCTACTGCTTCCCAAACATGACTGGGGTTGAGAGAAAGATAAATTAGATTACAGACAGAAGCTTTTCCAGGGCATGCTACTTTTTGCGTTACAGGTATACTTGCCTTTGATTTAATATGGCTTCCTTCCTTCCCTCCTTCACCCTACCTTTCTTCCCCCACCTTTCTTCCTTCCTTCCTCTCTTCTCTTTCCCCCCTCCCCTTTCCTTCCTTCCCCTCACTTTCCTTCTTCCTTTCTCCTTCCCTTCCTTTTTTTCTTCCTTCCCCTTTTCCTTCCTTCCTCCCTCCCTTCCCTCCTCAACCCAGCTTGCTATCATGTACCTAGTAACCAAGCAATGGTAGGGCAGCAGAGGCTATGGATTCTACCACATTTGTTAGCCAAGTGAAATCCAACAATCTTATGAATTACAACTTGTTCACTCATTCTTTCTTTCATTTACTCATTCATAGATACCCTTAATTACCATCAAAAGAAGAGAAGCACATTCGGCATACAGTTAAAGCAGTTGTGCTTCCTTTTTCTGGTTATTTGGCTATAATTTTTCATAGAATAGAGATAATTGAACAAACTTTGTTGCATCACATTCTTGATTAAATGATCTTTCCATATATATGCTCCAATACCCCAAAAGGTTTCCAGAATTATGGCCACCACTGTAGGTCAGCTGCATAGGTTATAAAAGAGAGTCAGTTGGTCTAATGGTCAAAGCATTAGGTTAGAATCTGGAAGACTGTGACTTTTAGCTCTACCTTAGGCACAAAATCAGCTGGGTGACATCGGGCTGGTCACACTCAGCCCTGAGAAGAAGAAGAAGAAGAAGAAGAAGAAGAAGAAGAAGAAGAAGAAGAAGAAGAAGAAGAAGAAGAAGAAGAAGAAGAAGAAGAAAGAAAGAAAAAGAAGAAAAAGAAGAAAAAGAAGAAGACAAGAGCAAACTGCTTCAAAAAAAGTTGCTCAGAAAATTGCAGGAGTCAGTTAGCAACTCTGACTCAAAGTCATCTCTCTCTCTCTCTCTCTCTCTCTCTCTCTCTCTCTCTCTCTCTCTCTCTCTCACACACACACACACACACACACACACACACACACACACACCAATCTTCTGTGAAGACCCCTAAATACAGTCCCACCCTGGTTCCCCAAAAGCCTAAAGCTATCTCTGTTCCTTGGATAGCATCCAATTCCTTCGTGTTTCACTAATGAGAAATGTTTATATCCATTGCTGGCTCTTGGAGCCACCCAAATACTGTTGGTAGCCAACTCTACCATCAGCAGTGACAGCATTTCTAAGGCAGAGATATGGAAAGAAAATATCTATGGTTGGTTCTGCCAGCTGCTATAATTACCCAGATGTTTCTCATCACCCAGAAGCTTAATTTCAATCTCAAAACAGAATTGGAGTAATCGCAGCTATTACCAGACTCTTTGTCAAATCTCTAAGAGATGGGTACATTTTCCTGAGATGGTTCAGTACATATACGGCAGGTGTACATGCAACTAAAACTTCACCCAGGACAACTGAGATGCTGAGACCGCATCACAATTCTTACACAGAAATGTCTTCCATGTACAAATTTGGCAACCTATGCAATTTAGATCTCTGTTCCATAAGAATTCTGCTACATGCAGTGAAGATCTTGGTCTGTAGATCTTCTAAGGCCGAAGATAGAAGAATTCCAACTAGGTCAACAACTGTTATCCCTCATGGAAAGCAGCTAAATTTAGTTGCAAATATACTTCAGCAATTACAGACAACGGGGAGCATCAAAATCTCAGGGTTCAAAACTCAACCAAAGCCAACCTGTGTTAGCACAATGGGAACTTTGGCAGGACAAATAAGCCAGATCATGAACTTCTGTTTCTAAGAAGGCATTCAGGAAGGCAGGGATATGACAACAAGAGAAGAGGTTTATCTTCTCTAGACCATCACAACTAAACTAGAGGAAAACAAAAGGGAAGCTGGTAGCCAATTCCAAGAACACAATCGCAACCACCTTAAGATAGGTTAAAAAAAAAACCTGAGCTTCTAAATATTTGCAAATGGACAAACATTTCACTCTAGTAGCAAAAGCAGTCCTGTGTGCTCACACTGCAGTATTTTGAGAAGATCGATCCAAATCAATTTATTGGGAATGGATTAAACTTCCCCCTTCGATTTAGTTTCTGCAATGACACTCTTTGGTAGTCTTGTTCATAACATTGGAATAACAACATTTGTGCACCTCCATTGAAACAAATGCTAATCCCAGCATCATCCCAATAAATGCTTGTTAAAACTGCAATCCAAGAGTAGGGCAAAGCACATGCAGGCCGGTTCACTGTGTCTTTCTGGCAAAGTTAGCCCATCACAACCCTTGGGAGATCCTTCTACCAAAACTTCTCATCAAGTGCTCCCTGGAATTACAGTAAGTTCTGATCTGGTCTGCTTGGGACATCTGGTTAAACCAAAAGCATGTTTGTATTTTAGTGATTTGAGTAGAAGTAGTAGGTTTTTTTTAAGGGTGAAAAAAATCTAATGGGCATAAAAAATTCAATTAATGCTAGTTCTTGTTATCGGTAAACAGAAGGCCAGAAGGTAGCTAATTGCCTACCTTGATCTTCTCAAGGCATCCTCATCTGGATCTTGCACTGCAGATGAAAAATTGGTAATGTTAGAAGGAGAAGCATCAAGCAAGACGTTTGAATGGAGAATGAAACCTTACTACAGTTTGTGGGGAAGAACTACATTTTACTCTCACCAGAAAAGGACAACTCTAAAGAGGAAATCTACCAGAATCTCTCAACATCAGTTTTTTTATCCAGAAAGTATCCATACCTTCCAGTTTAGATCATCGTCATATTTCCCAATGGGACTTATTTGAAGAATGGGGGACAAAGTAGGTGTCCAATTCATTCTGTAGCTAAGGCCATTGCATCCCAGTTTTCAAAGTTTTGAAACTTTGAAAACTGGGATATGAGAAGTTTTAATTTGAATCCTCTCTGAAATGCCTGTCTGCTTTCTCAATCTCAAAAGTCTCCCCAAATAAGCTTTTAGGAAAATGGATTTATGCTGGCATTATTGACAGATTACCTGATATTTGATCTAGCCAATCCCAAAGCAGGGAGTGTTTAATAATTGTGAAAAGAATAAAGTGAACATCAGAAGGGTTGTTTGGCTTTTCGTTAATGAGGGTTGGTGATAGATTCATTCTTTACATTTAGATGGTTGATTGACAGCACCGTTCATCTGGTATGCAAAACAATGTTTAATCCAGATAGCCCTATGGGAAGTGGATTACTTGGGGGGCTTGGCTGTGAGATTTCAGACCAGAGTCTGGCATAGATATTGCATTGGTCTTAAAAATATCTGCAACTTATTGTAACCACTGCTAATATCATGATTTAGTTTGAAATTTGGAATCTTCTTGTAGTGGAGCATGCTTCAGTCTGTATGAACTGCTATTATTTTGATTTGAAGACTTTCTTTCTGATCTAGTTTCAGCATAGAGTCCCCCCCCCCCCTGCACAGTATAGACACAACGGTCAAAATGATGCTGCCTAGCTCTTCTTAGCTGGGCTGAGAAGTTGCCTTCAGCCAGTTCTCCTGAACTCTTCAGAACATTATGCCATGACTTTCTGAAATGTTATGTATCTGGCCCAGCAGGAACTATAAAGCTTTCAGTCATTTTTCAATAGACTTCAGTGTCAGAAGAAGGCAGAGGGACCAGTTATCTACGCTTCTGAAAATGATTTCATCAAGTATGGGTAAAACCAAACTATATCCTGAAATTTTAAGAAGCTCAAAAGGAGATCTTTCTATCCTTTATGGTCTTCACCCACTCCCAAGCTTTTTCCAAGAGTCAGGTGACTTGTTGACCAAGGAGAATCACACCAAATCTGGTAGATCACTTCTTAGTTTGAGGCAATTTCCTTATCTTACAAGACTTTTCTATATATGGGCCAGGAATCTACAATGGTTTAGGGGGACTATTCAAGTCAAATCAAATCAAATCAAATCAAATCAAATCAAGTGAGAATGTTGTAGAGAAGAGGCAGAATGAGAAACACAACTGTTGTAAAGTTCCTTCACATGTGCCTTAACTTAGGAGGCTGGGCTAAATAATCAATTCAGTGCTTTGGCTCTGCTGATGTGGAAGCAAACTTCTCAATTTCTATGGATTTATTTGGTGGACTTCCTTCTGAGAAGAGGTAGTCCTCGACTTAGGACCACAATTGAGCCCAATATTTATGTTGCTAAGTGAGAATTTTTAAAACTGAGTTTTGCCCCATTTTATGACATTTTTTTGGCAACGTTTGTTAAGTGAATCGCTGCAGTCATTAAATTAGCAACACGGTTGTTAAGTGCATCTGGCTTCCTCATTGATTTTGCTTGTCAGAAGGTCGTAAAAGGCTTCCCTATTGATTTTGCTCATCAGTGACCCCAGGACACTACAACCATCATAAATATGAAGCAGTTGCCAAGCTTCTGAATTTTGATCACACGACCATGGGGGATGCTTAAATGGTCATAAGTGTGAAAATGGTCATGTCACTTTTTGAAGTGCCGTTGTAACGGTCACTAAATGAACTGTTATAAGTCGAGAACTACCTGTGGTGCATCAACCCTAATCACTGTTTTTGGAAACTTTACCTGAGTTAAACAGTTCAGAAGGTTATTGAGGCAGGTCAAAAGTGACCTCGAAGGGAATTCATTGTGATCAGGTAGATAAGGAATTGATTGAAGGAATTGATTGCTGAGAATCAACACAGTTGTTTTCACGTGAGACTAGAGCCTCATTTTAAATCTTGTTTTGCTGTGTTTGTTTACAAGGAGGTTGGCATGATCTATTGAGCAGATCAAGTCAAGTCAAATCAAATCATATCAAAGGTTTAATATGGTCATAGACCAGCACAGTTCTATTGATAGGCTTTTCTGCTCAAATTATGGTGTGTAGTTGTGTACCATCTTGCAGAACATAGTTTTGCCTCCTCTGATGATCACTACTATAAACTCTAGGCTGGATATTGTGATATTTTCAAGGACCTGCACTTGAAACTGATTATCGGAATGCCACAAAATGGAATGCAAAAATGTTTTAAAATGAAGATAGTAAAACCTTGGGTTTACAGTTCCCCACTTAAATGCAGCAACTAATTTTTAATTAGGGCTTTAAACTCAAATAACAACATGGATTGTATCCAATGCAGTCTGGACAATTGACTTAATTTACATCATTTGCCTCAAATGATATAAATTAATGCAAATAACATAATTGCCTCAATTATGTCACTCCATGGTGACAATGTACCTCAATTATGCAAATGCTGTAAATTACACCGAGTTGCCTATGGAAAGTAACCGATGTATCTCAGAAACATTCTATCTCTATCTCCTAAAAATCTGCCTATTTCTATCTACCCTCCATTCTCATCTCTTCATGAATGTATGGCATTTTCATGGCCGTAAACTACGTTCTTACAAAATACATCTAGCATTCCACCGCTAACTCAATCAAAACTCCTTGGTAGTTTTGTTGCAATCACAATAATTGTTTCTAAGTTGTCTTTGGGCATTAAAGATCACTGCCTCCTTTCTCCGTGGGCCGAGACGACCCCAACAGACTTTTGAGTGAAGTCACTTAGTGTCCGAAGGTATGTTCTCCACCTGCAATTTCTCTAACAGAAGATCTTCTCCATCTCTTTTCTTGGAGGAATAGATAGGCAAGATGGATTTTGATGGTATTTTCACAACAGAGTTTATGATGGTTGTAATCTGGGCAAAACTGGGACATTTGTGATTCTAACCTTCTGGGAGGATTAAGTGATTAGATCAATGCTATTTTTGATGTTTTCACAATATTCTTGTGTTCCATTGACCCAATTAAGTATATTGTGTGAACAGGACAACTGTCTGCAATTTCACCAAGACTTGGAAGTATTACAGAGAGAGTAAGATGGTGGGATGGGGTTCTTTGAGCTTGATTGTTTTCTTGCAGATGTTCCATTACCAGACTGGGTAACATCATCAGTGCTAGAAAGGAGTTAACACTGAAGATGATTGTGCCAATGGAAAGCAACCCCAAACAATGCCATTTCAAATCTGGTAGTGGTTTTCAGTGAATTACAAACAAAAGTTCCTTAAAAAAACGTAATTTAGCTTTTCTTGGAAACTGAGGATTTGCCTGCTTCCTCCTTTTCTTTATGATAACAAACCCTTCCCCCTTCCTACCCCTCCCCCAATTGGGGCTCTAATAGCACTTCTGAATGACATCTTCAGGAACTTCTTGAAATATTGTATTGTCTTCATATTCTGTGATAGTGGTCCATTTCTCTTGCAACCCTGTGATAATGTGATAGTGTTCTCATTTCTGTTGAAAAGTAGTTATGAAATCACTAAATAAATACCTGGTTGTGAGACAAGATATAAATATTACAGAGGACAGCCTGAAAAAGTATAATAAATTGGAGGGACAAAAAGGCTCCCCTAAGATTATTGCCCCTTAGAGTTAAGGATTCAGCCAAAGGATTTTTATTTTATAATAGAGACCTGGAGGCCTATCCTAAAGAAGACATCAATACCTATGCCTCTATCTATCTATCTATCTATCTATCTATCTATCTATCTATCTATCTATCTATCTATCTATCTATCTATCTATCTATCTATCTATCTATCATCATCAATGTATCTCTCTCTTTGTGTTTATCTATTTGTCTGTCCATGTGTCTATCTTTCTGTGTGTGTGTATGTGTGTGTAATCAAGCACCGACAACTGATACCCAACAGAGTGAGGAGAAAGGAGGTTTTCCATGAAAGAGGTGAACTGGGCATCCCAGCTGGACTTACTGTACTCAGTTCCTGTCATCTGAGCAAGGACTCGGAAGGACTTTGACTGCAAGTTGGAAGATCGGCGGCTCCAATCATCCAGCTCATCTTCAGACTTGTTTTGGTTTTTAAGCACAGCCTGATAGACTGGAGAGGCACTGTCTACATGAGGGTCTTTAACAGGAAGGTTACTGCAATGCAGAAAGTAACAGGCACTGTAACATAGCTTATGAGATCCGGCCCGCCCTTCCCCAACATCCTTGCTGACGTTTAGCCTCAGATCCACAATTGCTGCTTCTTAGCCACAGAAATGAAGGAGTTACTTGTGAAACAAGCAGATATACAAGGAAGCCATGATGCAAAGTTGCCTTTCTCTTCACAGGAAGCAGGGAGAACATTGTTATCTAGAACGCACGTCACACAAAGAGAACTAATCTGACATTTTCTTCATCACATCAGACAAGTAAAATTTACCAGTTTATTCATTTGCCTAGCTTGCAACTTTCTGAAATATCTCAAGCACCATAGCAGTTCAGAGAATGACATAGGATTACTCATAATTCCAGGAAGCTGCTGACCTGTTTCCACTACTTAGAACAAGGACTGAGTTAAACATTGAACCTTTGGGAATACGGAATCCACACCTACATTTTCCAGGGGAAAAAAAACAGATCTTCCCTAAGCCTTTTCACCAAGAGAATGCTGCCAAGACTTTACAACCTCACCAGCTCCCTCCTCATTGACATGGCTTAGAGTAGGAAGTGTGGTTTTAATACTGCATCTAATTGGTGTTTGGGAGGCCTTGACAATGAGTTCTCTAATGAAAAGGCTTTCTGTATTGGGTTTAGACTTCTCTTCTTCTGATTGGTTTGTGAAGTCCCTATAACATGTTTGCCCCATCATTTATCCAATTAAGTGTGTTGTGTGGTTAGGACTTCTATGTTTATGATGTTGCAGGATTTGCAGACCAGCAGAGATCACAGTGGGAAGCCACATCTATGTGAAACTATCACTATCACTGGGTCCTAAGAAGCTGAATGGAATTATATTGAATGGACTTTCTAGGGCTACGTCTTTGTGGTGGTTTCATGGGCTGGGTATGAAGATTCAATGCCACATATCATTTCCTAATTCCCACTGTCCTTCATGATTTTTGTTCTCCAGGGACAGTTACTGTCAGCATCTATCTTGCTTGCTTGCTATTGGCTGCCATAGTAACGGGGAGGGAGGGGGTGCATGGTATTTGGGAGGGGAAGCGTGCTGGTGGAGACATCTCAAAAAAGGGAGTTTTGTTCTCACCATCTTCTGCACATGCTGAAGGTCCGTGTTTGGGTTTGGTCAAGGCCAACCATCTCTGCATACCAGCTGAATGAGGCCACCTGAAGATGCATCCCACATGACACTCTTGGGGGTTGGAGATTGGACATTGGACGGGGTAATTGCGAGGACAGATTTGAGTAACTTTTGATATATACAAGTTCGCGCCTTTTTGCCTCAGATCTTGCTTCACTTTCTCTGTTTTCATTTCATATCTAGTAAAAATACATTTTCTCTAACTAATTGGAGTTGGGGGTTTCCTTTCTTGGATGTTGAATGAGGCATGCTTGACAGTTATACTCTACTTCTGCCACCTTCCCAATATATAGTAGTCTCCCATTACAATTGAACAACGGATCAGATGTACACCAAATCTCAGTCAGCTACTTCTGACATTCATAGCAAAAGCCAAAGGAGGCTGGCCAATATGCATGTTGGCTAGAGATCATAGCAGCTTAAACGTAACTCTTAGAAATCACAGAGGTAGGGGAACAATTGAAGAATTTGAAAAACTGTTCTTGATAGTAGTATTTGCACCAATAAAGCATCATCAACATGTCTCAGGAGGACATGTTGAATGACTTGAAGGAAAGAAAGGACAATTTTCGATTTGCATCACCAAACAGTGCAGTGTTCACAAGAAAAGGATTAGTTGAATGAAAAAAAAAAATGCCACCGAGCACATCCGGTGGAATAAAGAAAGTTGGGGAAGCCTACAGATGTTGGTGAAACCCAATCAACGGCAGTCAAATTAGTTGATGGGAATCATAGTTCATAGTTCAACACCATCCAGAAAGCCAGAGGTCTTCTCATCACATGCCTTGCTGGAGCTATCGTGCATATCTCATCTAGCATTCTGTTTATAACAATGACAAAGCCAAACGCCTGTTGAAGCTCCCAAGCAGATAATGATTATGACAGAATTTGCCATATCATTTGTCAGCATCACAGAGTCTTGTGAAATATTGGCTCTGAACAATGATCATTCTTTGCTCCATGCATTTATCTAATCTGCCTTTAAATATCTCCTCCCCTTGTGTTAACAAATATCTCAATTGTGTTCTCCCCAAGAGAACTTTGCTTTGTTTATTGTTGGCTTTTATTTTCTTAAAAGAATAATAGCCAACAATAGATGTCAGATAGTTCCCCATATTAACTATATCTTTGACAGTTATTACTTAAACAAGAGAGTTAGTAATATCAGAGGGTGGGGGAAGTCCATATAGGAGGGGGAAAGTCCATATACTTGATCCAAATAATAGAATACATTTTAGAATTCTGGTCTGAGTATTCACTTTGTGCTAGCAGCAGAAAATAGTTCAACTTACTCCATTAAAGGAAAAACCTATTAAGAGTGACAGAAAATGACAAAAGCCTGATTGGAATTGTAATCAACTGAATCAACTGGAATCAATCTGTGAACATCAATCTTTCATGAGATATAGACACTACATTGCCGAAACAGGCCTGCAAGGGAAACTGTGAATTTAGAAGGGAAAAAAGAGGGGGGGGGGAGGATTTCTTGTGAAGCATAAATGAAAGGAGAATGCTAATAAAAAAAAACAACACCCAGATCACCAAATAAAAAAAGAAAGGACAAAAAAGAAAAGCAAACTGACTGTGTTATCAAAACGCCTCCTAAACACAAATAAGATTTGGTCCAGAGATATCCTTAAGGAAGTCTGATGTGGAAATTACCCTTGGAATTGTGGATTTTTACTTTTCCTTTCTCCATTAACTCCCCTTCGCTTCTTTTGATCAGGATTAAATGCAGACCTCAATTGTATTTAAAATAGATCCACTGAATTAGTGGGGAGACAAGGGGATTCATCAGTACATTTAAGATTTGTGAAACTTCAGAGAATCTTTTCTGAAGTAGATCTGATTCTACTACGTGGATGTTACTTCCGTTACTAATATGTCATCCTACATGGATCTCCAAAATGCATTTATTGACTTACTCCAATTTTTATGCCATGCCAATCCAAAGACTAAGAAAGCTTTTGACTATATGCAAAACATGAAGAAATACGGTAAGAACGAAGTACAGAAATAATTTAAACCATAACATTATATAACTGCAAGACTAATTTCCAGGATCTACAGTATATATCATGTCTGGCCACCAAAGGAGAATCAATTGGCTAATGCTATCTAAGAGGACAATTTTTGTACCCCAGGACCCCAAATCTTTTGGGCAAGAGAGGAATTTATTGAACACCAAAACATTTTCGTCTACAGTCTACACATCAGGTATAAAGAGAAATTTCTCAAAAAGTTGCTCTATATGATTCTACTAGTAGTGCAAATCAGAAGTGGCTTCCAACAACCACGTGCAGATAAATCCTTTCATAATAAGGTAACTAGCATAAGGTATATGCTAGTCGTTCCCAACTATAGAGGGCGGTGCTCATCTCTGTTTCAAAGCCAAAGAGCCAGCGGTGTCCAAAGACATCTCTGTGGTCATGTGGCCGGCATGACTCAACGCCAAAGGTGCACGGAACGCTGTTACCTTCGCACCAAAGGTGGTTCCTATTTTTCTACTTGCATTTTTGCATGCTTTCAAACTGCTAGGTTGGCAGAAGCTGGGACAAGTAACGGGAGTTCATCCCATTATGCAGCTCTAGGGATTCGAACCGGCAAACTGCCGACCATCTGATCAACAAGCTCAGTGTCTTAGCCACTGAGCCACTGCATCCCATAATACACAAAGCTTAAACCAGCGAACCAACTCCCTATGCCCGTTGGGTGGAATTTCACTGAAGCTATTGGAGTTTTGTGGAATATGGTTTCTTTTTTGGGATCCATTATCCTAGTAGGCCGATATTTTAATCTAATGTGATTAGCTCTCTGAGAAATCACTCTGAAGCATTGCCGCCAAATATGGGCCCATTCAGATTTATGTAAACGACTGAAGACTGTTACAACAACTTCAGAAAAGGTGCTGTATCACTTGTAAAGCACTTGCAGGCATCATAAAATATCTCTGTCTGTCTGTCTGTCTGTCTGTCTCTCTCTCTCTCTCTCTCTCACACACACACACAGAAGCACTTGCAGGCATTGTAAAATCTCTCTCACTCACTCACACACACAGAGAGAGGGGGTGTGAGAGAGAGATTTTACAATGCCTGCAAGTGCTTCTGTGTGTGTGTGTGTGTGAGAGAGAGAGAGAGAGAGAGAGAGACAGACAGACAGACAGACAGACAGACAGAGATATTTTATTTTATGCATGGTAGGCACTTGACAATCAGCCCACATTTACAACTGGTTGCAGCATCCTTTGGTCATGTGACCACGATTTCCATTTTTTAGCCAGTTTCCAATGGTTTGTGGGTTGTTTTTCCCCCCCAATTTCTAGGGGAAAAATATGCCCACTCTGGAGAAAGGATTTGGATTTACAACCTTGTAATTTACTTAATGATCACTGTAAAAAATGGTCCTGAAATTGGATCCAGACATGTGACTATCTCAACTTATAACTGTTATGACTCAGACTGAAATTCTGGTCCCAACTGCAGTTCTAAATTGAGGATTATTTGTAGCCCCTCTTCTCCCCAGGGTAGAGTGAATGAACTCAGAATGTACAGATGCTAAATTTATATAATATTTTCCCCACCAAAGTTGGAAAATGGGCAGGTTGGACTTTGTTACGGTATTACTGGAATTTAATGCGAGGGGGAGGGGGGAGTTGTGGTCTTATCCAAACAGTGAAGGAGTAAAACTATTTCCTCGAACCCAAAGTGACAAAAATAGGATGTGATGTTGTTTTAAACTCTGATGAAATTATTTTGACGATTTAGGTTAGTGTTGGGAGTTTGCATGCTTAATAATCCTCTAAAATAAACAAGCATTGAGAGAAGTGGGTGATAAACAA